AAACAAATATGGCTCTCTCCAAATATCCAAAATAACCTTCAATAATTATGAGATCCTGACTATTTATCAAAAGTCCAAACTACCCTCCAATAATGAAGAAAGTGTTGTTGACTACCAATATATTCCAATGTTTTTTGATAACAGCAACCTGGGCAAATAGCTAATTTTACCCTAAAATTCTAATAGTTACCTTTCTCCCAAGTGAAGTAAGTTTTGGTTTCTCATCTTGCAAGGCCTAAAAGACAGACAAACCAACAAATGTTATTATAAACACATTTTCTTCATTGTTTGGTTGGTTATTTACCATACTAACCTTGTGTACAACCATGTAATGCCAGCTTGTACTTCCTTCCAGCTTTAACCTAAACTTTTTCACACTCTTCACATACATTAACAAGATAATCAACAAATCCATTGGAGTAGAAATGATAAAATATATGGCATGTCACTGTAACTCAGCTCCATTTGAAGACACGCAACACTTTTATCCCTTGCAATATAAGTTGCCCTGTAAGCAAAGTAGTAAAATACATGTAAAGATGTTGACTTTTTATCAAATCATTCAATTGGAGCAAAAAATGGTTTTCTGTATTTTGAAGATTGGGAAAAAAGTGTGTTGAACGTGTGTACACAACCATGTCGTTAATTGCTACTCTTCTACTACCCACAAAAAAAAAGTTAAAAAAATATAAAGTTGTTGACTTCTGCTTAAACAGTGAATTCAGAATTCATTGCATTCACGAATTTACTCAGATTTAGCAAATGTTCTACCTTTCACAATTTACATACACGCATCTATCCCTAATCGCATCACACTGTTCTCCTTATCCCCTTTAAAAATGGTAACACACTAGAGGATGTTTGAAATACGAAAATGAAATTAGACTAGCGGGAACTAAAATTTTTCAGAGATATATTCGGGATTTACTTTTTCACATACATAAACAACTGTTATGACCTCAAAATTGAATAACGAGAAAGTATTCCACCCGATTTCAACTAATTTGCATCTTCATCTAAAAAAAAAGCCCTAATTTTTTACATGTTCAAATCGCATGTTAAGAAGCCTTTCGTCGGTTCACTATTAGCTAAAAGTTCCCTGTTTTAACCCCTGTAATCGCACGAAGTCAATCCTCCTTCGGCCACTGTCCTTCCGATTCTGCACAAGGCCTCCATCGTATCGTCTGGTATGTTCCTTTACAGTTTTATTTTTTCCATCCTCTATTATGCATCGATTTTGTTAGATGCCAAGATAAAGTTTGTATTTAGTCCCTATACTTTAAATAATACCAACTGATTCTAACCCTTTTATTTGTTGTTTTCATAAATTATTATTATTATTATTATTATTATTGAAATTAACCAATTGGTCCGGAATGGGCTTTTCTAACCAGATTTAATATTCGGTAAACTGATAGATAATTCCAACCCGTTAATATAATCATCACATAAATAATGTTTAACCCGTTCCGGACCCAGTTTTATTGCTATTGTATTATTAATCAATTCATGTATTCAAGTTTATACATGATTACATGACCTACCAGTCGTCTGTAACAGTTAGTTTAAATTATTAATTTTATTTTTAACTATATTCCATTTTTTTCATTACATATCAAACAAGGACATGAATGCAACAGACGCTAGAGAGAGAAGAAAAAACAGGAAGTTATATCTGGATAACAAAAAATCCAGAAAACAATTTCCCACATCATCGTCTCATCGTACACCTACTACGGTAATTTTCTTAATATATTTTGCATTGATTATATGTTTTATTTGTTTATTTTAAATATGTTATTAATTATTATTTAAAAAATAAAATAAAATATATTTAACTTTTATATCAGAAAATATGACTTTAAATTGTTTTATACTATTTTACAGGTTCAAATAATACTATAGAATCTACAAATGCTAAAGAGAGGAGAAAAATTAGAAAAATATATTTGGATAATAAAAAATCCAAAATATTATCTACCACATCAATCTATCAAGATTCATCTATTACACATGTTTCTTACAAGTCCAATAATGGTATTTATCTTTGTTTTTTTTTTTAATTTATTTTTTAATATTAAAATTATATAAAATTTGCCACACTATTTAATTTATTATTTTTTAATAATTAATATTATTTCTGTTATTAGTAACTTTTTTTTTCTCATTATATAACAGATGTCTGCAGTCGTCGTCGTAGATTATCTACAGATAACTATACATATGTTACCAAAGACAAGGAAAATATAAACTCGGTCAAATCATGTGTATATCAACATACAATTATTAATCCAACTTCAACAAATAGAAATGTTACAACACCCTTTTCAACAATTTCAAATGGTATGTATTTCCATATACACAAATATAAAAATATATGCTTCACATATATATAATTCATAACAATTTATAACGTTCTAATTTTTATTTTTATTTTTTCAGGCAATTATATTTTTAATAATAACGTTCAAACACCACTATCTACTAACAAAGATAAGTCTGTGTTTGGTACTGCCACGGTATCCACCAATCGTTCGACGATAATTCAGAATTTTCCTTCAAAGTAGAGAATGATTAAAATTGTTGATTTTAGAAAAGGATGGTAGACTAACAAATAAAATTTCTAATGTTGTGTATAAAGAAGTTTTTAGAAATTTGTAAAAAAATTTGTAGAATTTTATTATTCATATAAATTTCGTTATCTGTTTTTTGTTAAATTTATATTTCATTTCATAAAATTATATTTTTTTTTGCATATCTACAAATACAAAATGCCAATTGCATATTTAAACCACTATCGGTTTGTATTTTTAACCAATAGTTATGTCGTTATCTTTTTACTGCAAAACATATAAACTTTAATTAGTAAAGATGTTATTATCAATTATTAATTTTAAATAAATAATTACAATTTAATTAAAAAAATTATTTTCTAATCCGTGGTGCCCACGGGTTATAACCTAGTATATATATATATATATATATATATAATATATATATATATATATATATATATATATATATTCAATACCAAACATGGTCTTAGAATTTTAATTTAAACCGAAGGAAATTATATTTTTAACAAAATCATCATTAGATGTCTCCATACAACAAAGGAATGTAAATTACAAATTTATAATAAAATTATTTTGATTGTAATCACTTTTATGTTTTTTTTTTTTTTTTTGGTATAATAGTTTTGGAAATACAAATACATTAGTTCTTTTATTTATTATTTATTTTTAATTACAAATTCATTAATTAAATAATTATTATTAATTAGTGCACTTTGAACCGTGAGAGGAAAACAGCCTCGTGGCGGGGTTGCTACGCAAGAGAAAAATGCCAAAACTGGGGGTTTTCATATTTGTTTGTTTATTCTCTATCTTAATATGATTAAGAAAAATGTAAGCAAGGGATCGATAGGCACTATTATATTTTTGAATTTATGAAAATTTATTAGTTATATATTCACATAAAACGATCTAGAAATTCTATAATTATATTAATAACATATTTTCATTTCACTTTTAATGCCATCGATAAATTGTAAAGAAAAAGGTAACCGAAGTCATTTAATTTTCAAGACCATTTGATTACATTAGTGTTTTACGTTTTTTCCTTCGAAATGACTCATTAACGTGGCCATGGATGTAGGTTAAATCTTGATCAAACATGCAATTCTCATGTTTTTATTTTGCCTTTTGTTTTTATATTTTTGTTGTTGTAGTTTTTATTTTTTGATTGTATTAGTGTTTTTGTTTTCCTAATCTTATAGTTGTTTGTTAGCCATTTTTTTTTCTTCAAATCATGTAGCAACGTATCCTAAATTTAGAGGGTACTTGTTCAACACCCCTCTCATTATATTACATGTTACATTATATTACATGTTAAAAAGACTAATTATTAGAAAACACATATTTTGGTATTTTTTTGGTTTATAATTCATATCTACAAGATCATTGCTTTAAGGTTCACATTCTCAAAAACAGTTATTAAGTTAGAATATACATTAATCGTTAAGGGAAGTTTCATATTTGTGCATGATAAAACTAACTGATACTTTTATTTATGGAGAAGTGTTTGAAAAAATAGTTATTAGCTTTTAAATCTGTAAAATTTGTTAAAAATAGAAGTTAAAACTTCTTCTGCTGCCAAAAGAATTTTACTTTTAGAGTTTTTTCTTAAAAACTTAGGTGTTGTTTGTTTTTTGAAGCCAAAATGTCTGCAGTCTGCAGACCACATCTGCAAACCTCTGCGGCAGAAGAAGTGGACAAAATGTCTGCAGTCTGCAATTGTTTTTAACGACTGCAGTTGTTGAAATAAATTAATTTTTCAAACTTAATTTCATGTCATAAACATTAAAAATGCATTTTCAGCAAAAAAAAAAAAAAAAAAAAAAAAAACTGCACGGTTGCCCATGTTTTTTTTTGTTTAGGTTAAAATGAAATCTGAAGACTTTTGAAGACAGTGGCCCAAGTCTGCGCCAGGAAGACCTCAGACAGACATTTTTTGATCTGCACACTTTCAAAAAACAAACACTCTGCGAGGGCATATGTCTGCACGTTGTATGCGCGGCGCAGACAAAAGTGGCTGCGCAGATCTTCGAAAAAAAAAAACAACCAACCCCTTATAAAAGCACTCAAAAACTTCATTTCAAATATTTATTGTATATCACTATCATTTTTTTATTTGGTAGTATTGTAATTTACCTCTAAATTCGCCAAAATATTTATTGTAAAAAATACACCACAAATATTCATTTTAAAAAATTGAATAGATAATAAATTAAAGTATATAAAAATACGTGTGCAAATTGGCCTTAAATTCAATATTAATGGTGGAGTAAAGGTATTCTTCGCGCCACGTTCATTGATGAGTTTAAACTGGCGGACCATCCGAAGATGGTGACAAAATCATTATTTTATTCCCATATATTTTTTGATTATATTTTAAATCAAACAACAATCAAGTCCTGTATGACGTCATCTGTTGAAATTCAATGCTTCCTCTCCATACCTGTTATCATAAAAACCTTGCCGATAATTACCTCACTCTCTAAATTGGGGTTTCGATGTTATTTTCGGAAGAAACCCACTTCAATTTGTGAATAAGTCATCCAGTTGATGGTATTTCAGCTATGGTTGTTGACGACTCATCTTCTTCACCTAGCTTCCGTGAGCTTGACGATGTCTTCTTACAGGTAATCTTTGTTACCTTTTTTCGCCCACCAAGTGTTTGTGTAATTGCCTTTCACTAGGAGAGTAGTTTCTTATGCAGGGAAAGTTACTATTTTGATTATTGAGGTCAAATCTAGCAGTTTTAGATGCAAAATTGATGTATATCTCCTTGCAGTTTTAACACCAACCACATTTCTAAGTGTTTTAATCGTTCTCTGTTTTCATATGTTTAGTCTCAAGCAAGAATATGGCTTTCAGAAGTGCTGCACACAAGATTTGATGAACAAATAAGCATATGTGATCTACTTTCTGACGGCGAGCTGCTGTAAGTCATCACTTTGAGTAAATTACACTTTTGGTCCCTGTGCTATATCGATTTTTCTCCATATGCTCGAAAAAAATTATCTTTTTTGCATTTTCTGTCACTCTTTTACTCTAGCATAACCTTTTTAGTGTAAATCTATATAGAATTATGTGACTTCTCAGACATGACTTATGAGTAGAGTTTGTTTATGATTGTAATAGCCTCATTTAACTTGACAGATTTGAAGTTTCAAAACAATTATGGAATATGTTGCTTGTTAAATATATGGAGCTCAAAAATATTAAAGCTCGTATGTTTATACCAGTTGATACAAGGAAAAGCAGTGGGAGATATAGACCTTACTCAAACGTTGATTCATTTTTGAAGGCAAGCTCCTTAAAACCAGTAGTAGTCTTCAATTTCTATATTTTCTACATTCTCCTTGGAAAAAAAAAAAACTATTTTGATTAGGATGAGGAGGGCATTTATGTCTTTTATATTTTTGTTTGTTGCAGGTATGCAAAGTTATGGGATTGAGTGGTGTGGATCTTTTCTCCCCATCTGATGTTGTGGAGAAGAGGGACACTAGGAAAGTATGTATATGTATACGATCTCTATCAAAGAAAGCTAGGTCTAAGCGATTAGATGTGAGTAATAAATATATCACATATTCTCTCCAAATTGTTGCTTACTTATATGAAATATTTTCCCCTTTCAAAATATGATGTGTCACAAAATACTACCAAGATGATCATTGAAAAGTTGGAAACATTTTTGATATAATACATGATTATACACTTTCTTGATATTTAGGTTCCCGACTTTGACATTGTCACCAAAACAGTAGCCATGTCCACAGAAGCAATTAGATGCATCAGAAGAAGTTTGGAATCATGCACATCCAGTGATACTCATGGAAGAAGTAAACATGCAAGATTGAAATTTAGGCAGGTATTCTACTTTCTAACAACAACTTACCAAAGGGCTGTTTAAAACTAAAATGATTTGTTTATTTCCATTTTACAAAAAATCATTTTTTGAAGGTCAAAAAAAGTATAATGGTTTAAATGTTCAATCACTATGTGTAGAAAAGTTCCTTTGTATCACATCAACAAGAGGATGAATTATCATGTCTTGAAGAATCCGATGAGGCAAAAAGCAGTTTCTCCGACACTCCATACGCAGATTTTCTATATTTAGATTCGGGAGACTCACCAGATATAATCGATAAATACACACCGACTCATGATGAGTTTGACTTTGACTTTGACTTTGACTTCGATGCCAATTCTGAGCCAGATGATCATACTACTTCGATTCCGTCCACTCTCGACGGGAAGGTGTCGGTTTCATGTAATCTCGAGTCTCGGTTTGAAGAAGCAACAGTACAAAATTTGGAATTTTCCGCAAGGGCTTTTTCACCGTGTTGGGATGATGCGAAATCGGATTGCTCAGTGGATCGAGATATCGAAGCACAGAATCGAATTTGTGGGACCCACGAAGATTTGGGAGATTCGTTGGTGTTGATGAAGGATGACATCACAAATGTTGCAGAAAGTATTCAAGAAATAGGGGATGATGACAATGCGAAGAAAGAAGATAACCAACTATGCACTAAAGGAAACATCGGTGTTCATTTCTATTCTGAAGATGAAACTAAAGCTGATAGCAAGGTATATTTACATTTCTTTACCGATAACAACAATGTACTTTATTTTTTTTAATTGAACTGTAAAAACGAACATAAAAGTTAAAACCATTCTTGTTTAAGGAAAGATTCTAAGCGAATAGTTATCTTTAACCTTTTCAATGTTACACAGGAAGAAAGAAAAGATGAGGGTATCAACTGTTTGGCAGAAGCAAATGAAAAGAGAATAGTCAACACAGAGAAAAAGTCAACCTATATTGCACCACTGCTGAAAACCGTTGCTAAAGGCACAGCCGTTATTGGCATTTTGTTTTTGCTTCACCTCAGGTTCATTCTCAATCATTGTACTGCGTTTAATGTGCATTGGACTGGGACTGGAACTAGAACTGATGTCATGTCAAGTCAAGTCAAGTCACTAGGGCAAAAAAATGAAGTTACCTTTTGTCCCATCAAAAAAAGTGGGACAAAAATCCATGCATAAGACATGAATACCCTCACTAAAAATAGCCCTAGAAATCTTGTCCTGTCCTCTCTCACACACTATAATTATTTTTCTACTTGATTTTTACATGACTATGAACTTACATAACAGGATTAGGAGTGATGGAAATACAAACAACAAATCCAATATAGTAGGGTTGTCAAGAAGGAAAGGAGAAAAGGGAAACAAGATATATCCAGTTGACAAGTTCAAATTTGGGGATTAGATTGTCGAAAGTCTTTATGTTATAAACAAAAAGGGCATACACTAGTCATGGGTGTCCCCACCACACGCAACATACCAAATGTTAAACATAAGAAAGCCTTCGGATGCATCAAGATGGGGGGCATATATATAGCATATACTACATTTAAATACAAAATGGAATCACATTAAGGTATTGTATCTTGGAGTTAAAGATTTTTTAAATGTATATCTCATGACAAAAAGTGTACATGTGAAAAATGTAGAATGTTTTGCTCTGTTAGACCTTAGGTTTCGATTATCTTGAAATTCGGTATTAACAGAATCTTGATATCTATCGTTTGGGAGTGTTTGGCAAATGCATATAATAATGAAATCGATGATAAAAGAAAACATTGTATGCTATAAGAACATCTCCAATGGTTAACCTTACAAAGAATTGTTATTTTTGCACATCATCTTTCTACTAACTTTTAATTATTAAAAAAACTTTTACCAAATACTATCTCTAATGATTAATCTTTTCAAAAGCCTTTTCCTAAAATTAACTAATTTACTAACATATGTCAAATTTTCGGGTAATTTTCAGGTAAATTTTTCTAAATTTTTTTTTGTATATTTGTCAGGTATTTATCATTATACTAACAAATGTTGTATTTATCCTTTACAGACACATAATACCAAAAAAAACAACTTTTCCAAGTATTTTTTCCGAAATAATAAAAGATGATAAACTTCTCACATATATAGTTATATAAAAACAAAAATGATAAAATATTATGTAACCCTAATGTTTTATAATATTTGATATTTTTTATTTTGAAAGTTTTGACAATTTCTTTTAGATTATATAATATTTTATAAATTTTGTTTATTTTTATTTTGTTTACTAAATCACTTGATTAACTAATAAAAAAACTAAAATAAAGTCTAATTAAATGTGAGAAAACCTAGTAAAAAATTAAAAGTTAGAAAAAAAAAATGTTTGGAGTGAACTTTACAAAAAACTTTCCTTTTTAATAATAAAATTTTTCTAATAAGTTTTTTCAAATAATATTTTTTATTAAAGAAAACTACCATTAGATCCATTAAATTAATGATGATATTGGTATTGAAATTGTGATCAATCTTTGACGAGAGTGAGGATAAATTGTACTATATATTAAAATAAAAGTTCTTGGCAAAATTGTTTGTCACAATTTTGCCATAATATTTTCTTTTTTACAATTTGGCCATAATATATACTTTTGCTTTTTACATTTTTGCCACCATACTTACACTTTTTCCACAAATTATATTTTTGCTTTTTACACTTTTGCCACAATATTTTTGGCTTTTACAATTTTGCCATAATAGCTTTGGATGTTGACATGTTTGGTCTCTGTCTAAAAAATAAATTACAAAAACTATCCTCAGAAGAGGCCTTATCCATTTTTTTTATGTTCGAGTTTTCGACTTTGATCACAATTTTTTCATATGTTGGCAGATTTGGTTGATGTATAGAAAATCAATTAGAAAAGTTGGCTATGTAATTTACATAAAAGGTCCATATGTATTTTTTTATAGAAAAATAGTCACTACTTAATAGAAAATTAATAGAGTGCGCCACCTACAAAAAGGACACAAGTAGACTCCTGACCTGCGTCCCAGCGAAGCAGCAAAGGGAAATTTCTAGTTAATGATGAAAAGACATTATGTGCATGCATAATCACACATACAAAAAAGGGGAAATATCTAGAATATTTTACCCTAATTTACAAAAAAAAGTCTCAAATTAAAATTTGTTTACGAAAAACATGAATTACCAGTAAAAATGACGATTTGACCTATTTCTTCCGGTTTACCGGTTTCATTACTTACATGGTTCCATTAAAGTCCCATTATTTTAACATAATTTGCGAATAAGTCTCAAACTAAAATTTAGTGATGATTTAACCATTTTCTCCCAGTAACATACATTTTACGGGTTTCATTGCCAACCTGGACGCCTAATCATTAATGAGCTGATGATATGTATATGTTGAGTTATATAATGCTATGTTTACAATAAAACTTGATATCCTGGTGTATTGTATATTTTTTGGAATATAAAATGCATCCAACGAAGATTGCAATAATTATAGAAACTAGCAACAACTTCATCATTTTTTTAAGTTTATAAGAAATTTCAAATTGTCTATCTGATCTTATGTAACCCAGTATATCCATCTCATAAGACATCATCTTATTTTCCGCCCTTTTTTCTCGAAAACACACATTTTACCGGTTTCATTACTGACCTAAATACATATTAAAAAATAAGTCGATGAGATGGATATCAAATTTTATGGTAAACGTAGCATTATATAATCCATCGTATCCATCTTATCATCTCATTTAATGACTAGGCGTCCAGGTCAACAATGAAAACGATAAAATGTATGTTACATGGAAAATATGGTCAAATCATCACTAAATTTTAGTTAGGGACTTATTCGTTAATTAGGATAAAATAATGAGACTTTAGTGGAATTAGAAAAGTAATGAAACCGGTAAACCGAGAAGAAGGGGTCAAATCGTCATTTTTGCCGATAATTCATGTTTTTTCATAAACAAATTTTAGTTTGGGATTTTTTTGTAAGTTAGAGTAAAATATTAGGACTTTTTTTGAAGATTTTCCAAAAAATAAAGGTATAAATCACTTCTTATATTTTATATAGACTCATTAAAAGTTTTATCCGGTTTTGAAAAATGATGTTTTCTATTTTAGTAAATGAATTTCAAATCCTAAACATTATTAAAATGGATAACCGGTTCTCCAGACATGAATACACCATCGGTCGATCAGAAAAGTTAAGGGATGTAAACTTGTCGGTCACAAATATTTTACTAATAATATATAATATAGAGTAAATTACAGAAATGGTCCATGTGGCTTGTTTAAAATCGCATGTACGATCCAACCTTTGAAAAGATGACAGATTATGTCCATGTGGTTTAAAAAAAATTACAACGTCCGTCCCTCCTTCATCTAGACAGACTATTTCCCTTTTTCATATATTTTTCTATTTCTTTTATCTATTTCGAAGTTTAATGATATAAAAATAAGAAAACTGCTCACATCAATCCCAACCCCCATTATTCTCTCTCCATTTTTTCTTTCTTTACGTCTACTTCTTCTATGTACATGACCATCATCGTCGCATTCTCAGCCTGAATTCGATCATATAAAACCTCCATCGATTACAATTTTAAGTCGATTAACCATTAACGTCCCAAATCAAATATCAAGCTCACGCTTAAGTTTCCAGTTTTACTACAAATAATGGCGATCGAACAAACACATCATAAAAGTAATAATAACAACACCATGTGCAACCACCACAACTGGTCATACTTCCCACCGATTTCTAACCATTTTTTATTATTTTCCAAATTCACTATATTAGTCTAATTTTTGGCAATTTAAGATAGCTAAAAATACATTGTTTCTTGATAGAAAAATTGGTTATATGTTAGAGTCACAAGGAAGAAGATGAAGATTATGTGAAATATGAAACTTTACAAATGGGTTGATTGAAGGTTGAAAAGATCTCCAATTCTTTGGGTGGCTGTGTTTAGAAAAAAGATAGACCTATTGAAATCGGTCTCTAGAACTAAAATTTTAATCAATCCAATACCAAATAAAAAAATCTATTGAAATCAATCTCTAGTTCTTTGTCTTCAATGCATCAATCACAAAAAAAAAAAAAAAAAAAAAAAAAAAAAAAAAAAGAATCAACGTTTCTAACTAAATGAAAATAACTTAGAAGAATTTATTTTAGATGAGAGTGAATTCAATCTTCAATCCACAATTAGTTACCTTAATTTCTCAGCTTTAGAAATTGGGGATTTCTATTTAAGCATTTTCAGTTCTGACGATGAAAGTACAAAAGTATCAAAAACCTTAGATGATACGAGCAAATAAATTCTCAAAATTAAATCAATGATGAGCAAAAGAAAGCGAAAATTCCATCATTTTGTTGGATTTTAGGGAATTTTGTAAGAGAAACGACATCATTAATTGTCACCACCTTCGTTCGTAAGGTGTTGACTGAACATTCGCGATGGTAAACAACAACGTTGATGAAGTCGTAAATGCATTGGGAGAAACAATAGACATAGGGTGGCAATGAACGAAAAACATGAGGTGGGGATGGACGGCGATAACAGGGAACCGGGGGAAGGGATATATGGGAGAATGGGGGAGAATGATGAATACGATTGTGAGTTTGGAGAAAAACTAAACACGAAGGGAAACTATAGATACGTGGTGTATATGTTTTTTTTATAATATCTAAATGTGTAAATGGTGAAAAGAAAAGACAAAACTGCACAAATGGTCTCTGTGGTTAGCTGAAAATTGACACTTTGGTCCAAAAAGGTTTGGACTAGCAACAGAGGTCCAAACTTTTCATTTTGTTGCGAGTTTGGTCTAATTATCTATAAACTTTTTCATAATGACTATTTTGCCCTAATTTTTTCCTTTTCAGTTTTTTTATTATTTAAATACTTTTTTGATTAAAAGAAAAAATAAAAAAGAAAGTTTGCATTTTCTATTTTATTTTTATATTTTTTTATAACAAAATAAAAATGAAATTTCTCTCTCTCTCTCTCTCTCTCTCTCTCTCTCTCTCTCTCTCTCTCTCTCTCTCTCTCTCTCTCTCTCTCTCTCTCTCTCTCTCATTTCCAACACCACACAATCCTCCAACCTGCTGCCTTACCTCTTCCCTCTTGCCCTCCGATAACCACTGTCGACATAAGCAAAAAAGAAGCAGCCGCTAGACTGTCGGGCAGCCTCCTGCCACCGTAGAGCTACTCTTGGTCACCACCATCGACCACCTCTATTATGTTGCTGCTGCTACTATGTAAGTCCCCATTGCCATTTTTTTGTGTGAATCGCAAAGGGCCAAACCGAGGAATCAAATGACCCGTCATTTTTTTTTCTTTCATTATCTGCATCGGAGAGGATGTTCAATGGCGATGATAGCGAAGAAGCGCATGTTGCAGGTACGCTATCATTGTTGCTCCAATTGAGGGTTTTCGAGCCCTAATCACACCTAAATCAAAGTTTTCGGGGGGGGGGGGGGGGGGGGGGGGCAAGCTTCAATATCTGGTAAAATCACACCGCAAAGAGAGGGTAATTCGAACCCTAGAATGTAGAATGCTTTAATGGAGAAAGATGGATG